AGAGCCTTTTTGTATTAGACTGTGTATTTGATATGTCCTCTGTCACTAATAGTGGATGGAGGCTCGTCCACAAGACACTCCTACCTGTCCGGTGTGTAAATCCGTCATAGACAAAGAAAAGCTTATTCCGCTGTATGGGCGTGGCTCTGATCAAAAGGATCCTCGGTACAAAATACCGTAACAATACATGTACAATTATAATAATGAAAGAGAAAGCGAAAATGAGCTACATATCACTTAGTAGCAAGAAAACTAAGCTAACATTTTTGTTTTATTTCTCTTTAGAGAGTCCCTTCCTCCGAGACCTGCTGGACAGAGAGAGGAAGCACCCGAAGATAATAACAATACAGTAAGCCACATTCTATTTAATGCCCTTACTTGTTCTATTTAATGCCCACCCTACCTAGGGCTATTTTGGTGATGGTATGTTGAATGGGATCAACGTCTCTTTTGGTGTCGGGGGATTCCCTTTTGGATTTGGACTAGGAGTAAGTGAAACATTATTATTATTATTATTATTAAGAAACTTTTATTTTTTGTGTTTCCCTTAGCCTGCATTCACCATACAGACTGGTCGTATGGGAAGACAGCATCACAATGTCAACATTGGTCATCGCGGTAACAGAATGCATCAAGGACGAAGAGGAAGCCAAGAAGAGGAACAGAGAAAGACGATGGCAAGATTATTGTTGACTTTTGCCATCCTTTTTATCATTATGATCATCTTCACATAATTGCTACATGAATTCCCTCTCTCTCTCTTTCTCTCTCTTCATTCTTATTATAATATATTAATACTGTATTATTATTACTATTGTTATATTTCTATAGTATAATGTTACTTTGTGTCTGATTATTCCATTCAAACTTGTTCTTTATATTGAATAAGTGCTAACAGTCAACACTTATGGCTGTATGGCAGTCCTTTTTATAAAAAATGATATCCTTGTTGTGAATTGTGTTTTAGAAATCACTCTATATATAAAAATGTAACGGGTGGTTTCCATGTGTACAGCAGGCAACACTGGAGATAGAAATCAGGTCTATCTCTACAACAATTGTATGCTAAACACAGAATACATACAACAGCTGCAACTACATGTATATGGAAACCAGGCCTAAGCGTTAAGCAAAGCATCATTATTTATAGGTTTGATCAGGGCTCCTGGTTTGATGTACATCAATAGATAAGACAAATAGTTTTTTAAAGTTCATTTTTCTGCATACAATGACCATACTCTTAGCAGTACCAATGCCAATGATTGACTTAGAAGCATCACTTTGAAGAGCCAGGGCAGAACGCTTTTGCTTTTCTAAGCATAAACTTTAACTAATTTTATGTGAATGATAAAAATTATTTAAAAATAAATCAAATATAAAAGAAGGGAAATAGAAAGAGTATAAGCTAATATAATATTGGTGATTCAATTATAGTCTTTGGCCAACTCAATTTCGATTGTCATTTCTGACAATATGTCTTCAAATCCGAGCTCTTTCTTACCCTTAGGACATTCAATGACTATTTTCTTTAGTTTCTCCACTTCAAGGCTCCTCCATAAACTAAGCACAGCTACAGCAAGATCTTTAGTGAAATAATCTTCATTAAGAGCTAATCTAAAATATGGTGCCTTGGAAGAGGAGAGCCTTTTAAAAAGTGAATCAAAGAGTGATAGAGCATTATTCCAAGAGCTGAGATGATAATTGTACCATTCAAAACTTGTTAGTGATCCCTTGATACCAGACAGAGCAAATAGAAACCTGTCAAAAGTATCTTGATTGTCGTCATCAATACGAACGGATAGTATCCACTCATTTGCAGTCACAATACGAAACAGTGAGCAAATATCACTGATGCTATCTTGAGTAATCATCTCATAAAGAAATAATGTGAATGA